CATATTTTTTAAGCTCCTCTATAACCAATCACTAGTTCTTTTGGTACAAAACTAAGCCATATCTTTCCATAAAAACCTTTTCCTCTTCGTTTTTATTCCTATGAAACCTTTATTCATATGAAATACTAAAACCTCAGAATCACCTTCTCTTTCTCCTGCATCTCTCACTACCATTTGATAAATACCTTGGAAAATGTCTTTCAAATCCATGCAACTTGTTTTGAAATGAATCCAAAAAATAAGATAGATGTGATAAAGCAAATATAATAAATGCTATTTATAGAATCTAGGTGGTGGATATATAGGTATTCCCTGTATAATTCTTTCAACTTTTCTGTATGTTTGAAAATTTTTACAATACAATGTTGAAAAAAAAACAACCTGACCACATTCAGACATTGTTTCAAATTCATTTAAGTTCCTCTCTCCTGGACTACTTTGGGAGCCTAACTGAGCTCACTGTCTCTCCATTCCTTGCCATTATAATCCTCCTCCAAAACAGCTCCCCCATGATCCCTGCCTCCTGGTATTCATACCCTTGTGAACTTGCTTCCCACATTGTGCCAGGGTTGATCTCTAGGACCAATATGATGGTATATCACTTCTGAGATTAGGTTGTAATCTCATCTGTGCCTTCCAGCTTTCACGAACTCTCTCTGGATGACTTGTTCTGGGAGAACATGTAAATGATCTAGGGATCTTGGTAAAATGCACATTCTGATTCAGTGCATCTGGGGCAGGGCCTGAGATACAGCATTTCCAACAAGCTCCTAGGTAATGCAGACGCTACTAGCTCAGGGAGCAAACTACAGAGCTCTAAGTATAGCTATATTTAAATATGTAAAGATAGAGTCAGGTCTTTGTAGTAGTTTAGTGCAACATCATCTCACTATATTCAATTCCACGGAGTAATGCTTCTCAAACATGAGTGTGCATACAAATCACCTGCGTATCTTACTAAACTGCAGCAGTAAATCTAGAGCAGGAGATTCTGCAATTCCAGCAACCTCCAAGCAATACTGAAGCCTCCGGTCCAAGGACCACATTTTTTAAATTTTTTTAGTAATAAGGTTTTTTTAATATTTTAATTTCAGAGACGAAGAGAGAAGGAGAGAAAGACAGAAACATCAATGATGAGAAAGAATCATTGATCAGCTGCTTCCTGAACGCCTGCCCCCACTAGGGATGAAGCCCACATCCTGGGCATCTGCCCTGACCAGGAGTTGAAGTGTGGTCAACGCTCAATCACCATCGAGCCACACTGGCCAGGCGAGTAATAAGGTTTAAAAGGCCCCTGATACCTTTTGTTTGTTTGTTTAACATATTTGATTATAGGTAAATGTAAAACTTATATGTCCAAACCAAAATAAAGTTAAAAGACAATAAGGAATTTGGAAAGAACATTTGCAACATCCATGACAGCATGCATATCTTTTGCATTAATTTTCTATTGCTGCATAAATTACAATCCTATACTTTTCAAGTTTCAGGAACATCAACCAGAAAGATAAACTCTTAAAATGGTTTACAAATGACCATTACACATTCCAGCTTTACATCCAACTACTCCAGCACCTTCACCCACCCTATGTGCACGCCTATGCTCCAACCATGGCTTACAACTGCCTCTGCAGTATTAAAATCTTAAATTTTGTAACCTTACTCTGAAAACACACTTTCTAAAATTTTTTTTCAATTAACAAATACTTATTGAGCACCTAACACACTTTTGTTTTGGTAATACAACAAGCCCACGTAGAAGTCTTCAGTTTAAGACTTCTCTCACCCAGCCGGCGTGGCTCAGTGGCTGACCCTAGTCAGGGCACATGCCCGGGTTGTGGGCTTGATCCCCAGTGTGGGGCGTGCAGGAGGCAGCCAATCAATGATTCTCTCTCATCATTGATTTTTCTTTCTATCACTGGCTCTCTCCCTTCCTCTCTGAAATCAATAAAAATATATTAAAGAGAAAAAAAGACTTCTCCTCTCCTCTTTCTCTTCAATTGATCTTCCATCTAGTTTGCCTATTTATGGGCTGAGCGTTTCATCACTCTACCATGGGATTAAAGTCTCACAGGCTACTTATTCCAGATTAGACAGAGCAAATACAGACCCTTCTTCACAATTAACCTTTCACTACTACATGTTTTTTTTCTCACACAATTTTTAAGATATAACATACTATAAAACCCACCCTTCTTTTTTCAATTTAATAAATGTTTATTTTTCAAAATGTACAGCTGGTGAGATCTGTTGTTCATGCATCTTCTCCAGCAGCTGGGGTGTTTCTGGTGTAAATCACTTGAGCTCTGTGCTTGAGACTAGTTTAATAAGTCCTTTACTAAGTAGCTCCTGAAGGGCTGCCCTGGCCAAGGAGCCGTGAATCTTCAGCCCCTCGGAGACCACAGCTGGGGTTATAAGCTTGTAGTTGAGAACTTCCTTACAGAGTTTGTCATATGTGGCTTTGTCAAGCAAAACCAGGTAAAACCCACCCTTTTAAAGTGCACAATTCAATGGTATTTATTTATTTAGGTTAATATTCACCCAAAGATTTTTTTCCATTGATTTTTAAAGAATAAAAGGGAGGGAGGGGGAGAGAGGGAGAGAAAATATAGATGTGAGATACATTGACTGGTAGTCTCCCATATGCACATGCACCTGCACCAGGCCGAGGATTGAACCTGCAACCGAGGTATGTGTCCTTGAGGGGGAATCGAACCCTCTACCCTTTGGGAGCGGGCCGGCGCTGTAACCACTGAGCAACACCGGCCTGGCCTCAATGGTTTTTAGTATAGTCAAAGTTGTGCAATCATCATCACAATCTAATTCCAGAATATTTTCATCATCCCCCCAAAAGAAACCATACACTTTATTTACCACCCCCAATGTCCCCAGACCCCCAGACTGTGGCAACCACTAAGCTTCCTATCTTTATAGATTTGCCTATCTGGACATTTCACATAAATGAAATCATAAAATATGTGGTCTTTCCAACTGGCTTCGTTCATGTAGCAGGAGGTTTTCCAGGTTCATCCATGTTGCAGAATGTTATGTATCAGTACTTCTTTCTTTTCTATGGCTAAATAATTCCATTGTATGAATATTCCATATTTTATCTATTTATCAGTTGATAGGCATTTGAATTATTTCCACTTTTTTGGCTTCTTGAATTTGAATATACGTGTACAAGTTTTTATGTGGACATATGTTTTCAGTTCTCTTGGATATGTCTCTAAGAGCAGACTTGCTGAGTAATATGCTAGCTCTATGCTTAACGTTTGGAGCAACTGCCAGACCATATTCCAAAGCACTGAACCATTTTACATCCCCATCAGCAATGTATGGGAATTTCACTGTTACATCTTCCAACAATGAGGATGCCATAATTCCTGAACGAAAGGAGAGATGTGTCCCACACCATATGATGAGAATTCTCTAGGATGAATACTGCATTAACAAAGCGTAAGTACTGTAGCTTTCTGGCAGAAACACAAGAAATAAAATGGCATAGGTCCGATTATACTGAGCAAACCCGTTGACCTCTGAGAGCCAACGGTTCTTTAATCGTAAAATAGGGATGCTGTGTGTAATAACATTTATGTTGCAGTCGCCGTGAAGATTAAATAAACACCTCTCTCTCTCTCTCTCTCTCTCTCTCTCTCTCTCTCTCTCTCTCTCTCTCACACACACACACACACACACACACACACACACACGCAAGTGCTTTCCAACACTGATTATTCGTGATTCAACCCTGGGCAGAACATTCCGGGCAAAGGCTAAATGCCCAGATTCCTCCCCGCCCGGATCCTCCGCGCTCCTGCCCCGCTGGGAGGCGGCGGGGGCTGCAGCCACCTCCCTGCGCGGGAGCCGGCCTGACAGCCACGCAGGATAAATTGCGAGCTCGACCAGCAGAGCTGGGTCACTTCAGCCCCGCGTCGCTCCCAGGCGAGACATTCCGCATCCTCTATTTAGCTTAGCAAGTCAGCGCAGGATCTTTTCCCCCTTTTTAATGGTAATACACATTGATTATGGTCGAAGTGGAAAAGGAGGGGCAAAGAAAACACGAGCATATCCCAGTCTCTTATCGCTACATACTTCCCCAAAAGGTAAACAAATATGAAACCCGATCCATGACGAACTCTGGAGGTGTATCTATCTCCACGGCCCTCACCCCCAAAGGACCCCCTAGGACAAATGGCACAGAGCTTACCTGGTGGCTTCCTCCAGCTCGACCCGGCTCCGTCCAGGTGCCTCCAGAGGGATAGTAGCCATCGCCTCCTCCGCCTTCTCCCGGCCAGGTGGTCTCCGCCGGGCCGCCCCCGCGCACCCGCCAGGAAATGGGAGGCTGGGGAGGTTCAGGACGAGGAGGATATAAGGGCGGAGGTGGGTGCACCGGCACATCTCCACCCCCAGGCCCGTAGTAGCGGCCATAAGACGAACCATCACTGGGGCCATAGCCCGAGCGCCTTAGGGCCGACATAGGCTCTACTGCCCCCTAGGAGCTTCCCGCCCCCCACACCGGCCCACCTTCGCAGGCGCCAGCCAGCGAGCGGGAATGGACAGCCGTGAAGGGGGTCGGCCAACAATAGCCAATCCCAGGTTAAGTCCCCGCCCTTCGGCTCCCGAGTCCGGAGGGTTGAGGGATGGATCGCTGTGACTCTGGGGATCGAGGGACCAGGAAAACGAGGGGCAGCACCGTGTTCCTTAAAAAGGAGAATTCATTTTCCCTCCGCCTGTGCCATCTAGATTCCTTTTCCCCTCTCCTCAGGGGTGGGGAAAGGGTGTCCCAGGACCGCACGATGGCCCCGCCTCTTCCTGGAGACAGCACGTGGTACCGGAAGTGGGTAGGGATAATATGGAGGAGCTTCCGGCGTGCCCCGGCGGCTGAAAGCCGGGGCAGAAGTGCGGGTACCCGTCTGGGTCCCCGTCCCAGTCCCGCTGAGGCGGCGACCACGGTAGGAGGAAGGAGGCGTTGGACGCGCGGGCCCTTCGCCGCTTTACGTTGCGGCCTTATCTCAGCTCAACATGAACTATATGCCCGGCACCGCCAGCCTCATCGAGGACATCGACAGTGAGTTGCTCATCTCCTTCGGGTGAAGTCTGGGTGAGCCCCTTCCTCCCCGACGAGGGAGCTCGCAGCATGAGTGTGGGGCGGAGGGCGGTGTGTACTCCGCACAGTTCTGGTGTTTGGCGTTGACGTCCTCCTCGGGGACGCACCGTTTGCCCACCTCCTAGCCCCCCTGTTAGGTCTGTGCTGCTCCTCGCAGCCCAGTTCCCCGGCTGCTCAGCCCCACGCTGGACAGTTCCGTCCTCCTCCCGCGGGACGCGCTGCCGGGGACCAAACGCGAAATCTGCCCCCGCCCAGTCAGCTGTCTTCCTCTGCGATATTTCGAAGTTCCAGGTTGTTACTGGTGCAGATACTTAGAGAAAGGATTCAAGAAATGAAACTATTAAGAAACAGCATTTGGATTTAATTGACAGTAAACGTAGGCTTTCTGCATAAACTCTGTAGCCATTAGCAGTATTTTACCGGCAGGGTCTTCAGCACTTGCAGGTTGTGGTAGAAGAGACCATTGCCGGACAAGGTATTGACTGACTTTTGTGGAAAGGCTGAGTCACTTGAAACTTCTTCCCACCCCCACCCCGTTAGACCGTTTTCTTCTGCTTTTTTTTTTTTAATACATTTTATTGATTTTTTACAGAGAGGAAGGGAGAGGGATAGAGAGTTAGAAACATCGATCAGCTGCCTCCTGAACACCCCCTACTGGGGATGTGCCCGCAACCAAGGTACATGCCCTTGACCAGAATCGAACCTGGGACCCTTCAGTACGCAGGCCGACGCTCCATCCACTGAGCCAAACCGGTCAGGGCCGTTTTCTTTTTGCTTTTACTAAGAAGGCCTCCCTATTCCTCGTCATTGTCCCGAAGAGGAGCTCAGTCCTGTACAAAAGAGGAGCCAGTTACAGTTGTCCCGTCTTTCCTTCTGCTAAACTCTCATCTGTGAATTATTCCTCAAGTAACATTTTTGTAATCGCTTAAATCGTGTGATTTGTCTCATTAACTTGCAGTTGCTGCAAAATGGTTACACATAGTTCCAAACAAGTTACAAGTCTCTACAGTTACTATGTGTGCAAATTAAAGAATGAGTGTATAACTAAACTTTTTTATCGTCTGAAGTTATTTTTAAAATTTAAATTAGTGATTTTGCTATTGAAGGGAAATGCAGGATAAATTGGACCAAATTCATATAAATAACCACTGTACAAACCTATCTGTAATACAATGAAAACTTAAGTTTTAGCTGTCTGTGTATGCCCTTTGGCCCTCACCTCTCTTGTGTATATCTGAATTATTTCAGGCCCTAACACACTCTGTATTTTTACTAAAAATAATTTGTGGCTCTTTGCTGGTGTGGGTTCAGTTGGTTGGGCTACATCCTGTCCACTGGAAGGTTGCTAGTTCCATTCCTGGTCACAGCACATGCCCATGTTTCGGGCTGGATCCCCAGTAGGGAGCATGCAGGAGGCAGCCAATGGATGCTTCACTCTCACATGGATGTTTCTCTCTCTCTCTCTCTCCCTCTCCCCCTCCCCCTCTTTCTCTAAAAATCAATTTTAAAAATCTTTAAAATAATAATTTTTGTTCTCAAGCCTTCTAACCTCTTTTTTTGTAGATTCCAAGCTTCCTCTACTGAAAAATTGAAAACCATTTCATATGTGCCTTTCACTGCCCCCCTCCCCCCACTTTCCTCCTCTCTCCTTAGTCTCTCTAGTATTTTCACCGATCCTTTCATTTGAGTGGGAAGTGTTCCTCCCTCTCAATTTATGTCTTTTCTCCCACTACTTCTGGAACCTTCTATCATTAATATCCTTTTTCTCCCTGGGTTTTTTCCCTTCATTTATGTTCTATTCTGTCCTTATTGTGTGTGTTTTTTCCAGTTGTGTCTCTCCATTAAACTTCCATCCCTTTTTTTCTATCCTTACCCCCAAACCTCTTGAGCCATCTCCATTTTGACTCTTTCAGGCCATCTGCAATAGACCACCTGTTACCCCATAATTGATTTTTGTTGTCATCACACTGCTGCAGCTCCAGTCTTTAAAGGCCTCGGTCTAATAATGCACTCCTGAGTTTTCCCTTCCCCTCTGCAGCATTGTGATACTAGATTCTTAATCTGTGCTCTTGATTTCCCTGACACTGGCACTTGATTTTCTTACTTCAACTCTTATGTTCCCTAAAATAGATTGTCTCTTGGGTTCCCTCTTTGGCCTGCTTCTTTCTTTAAGTCTCTAGGAAATCTCGGGGACTTTAATATTATATCACCTCTCTGTTTGGCTTGCTTCTTTTTTTAAGTCTGTAGGAGATCTCCTGGACTTTAATAATTATATCACCTATCTGTGGCCTTCTCCAAAATCTCTCTCTCTATTTCTGACCTCTTTGCCATTCCAGTCTTACATTTCCAACTGTCTTGACACTTCTATATAAGGGTCCTGATAGCACTTCAGAATTACAAACTTTTGGTAACTGGTCCTCCCTGCCATGACGACTCAAAATGCCTACGTGTTCTTTAATTTTTCTCTTCAGCACCATACTTTCTCACACGTACCCATATATACACTCTCAATTAGCTCTGTTACTTACAACTGCACAGTCTTAGTTCTCTCATCTCTCCCTTCTCCTCTCTACCTTGGTTCAGGTCTCTTCTTTATGTCTCCAACTCCGGGAATAGCCTCAGTAGCTCTCCCTTTTTTGCCAGTTCAGTCTTCAAATCGACCTGTTCCCAGTTCTTTTTGACATTGTTTACTGTTATTTCCCTTCACACCCTCAACTTTTCACCACACATATGGTTACATTGCCCTTTTCTCCTGCCTAATTACAGATTTCCCTCCCCTTCCCTGTCACTATTCCCAAGGCCAAAAATTATCTACTTTTCAAGGACCAATCCAGATACATACTCCAGCTACATACTGAGTTTCTCTCAGTCTCATATAATTAAGATGTATTTTCTTGTGGAACTCAGTTGTAAATTCTTTCAGGGAAGAATCACTGTCTTTTCCTCTGTCCTACACCTAGATGGTACTTTATGCGTGGTATTAAAACAGCAAATGAATGAACTTTGCTAGCTATTCTAGTGGCTGGCTTATCATTCTTCAGAGTCAGCTCTAAGTCACCTCTTCAGAGAGATTTTCCCTGGCCATCCTCTAGCCACTCTCTTCCGTAGCTACATTCCCTCTCTTCATCATATACCTTGCTATCTTACATATTATACCTTTGTACTAATCATAATAGGTTATTTTGTTTGCCTTCCTCCACCAGGAATATAAGTCCATAAGGTTGGTTACTTCTTGAGTCTTATTCTCTAATGTATATCTAGGCCCCAGAACAGTACATAGCACTCAGTAAATATTATTGTATTTTTGCTCTAGCTTATTATCAGCATCCTCCTTTTACATGTCTGGGACATTGTTTTTATTTAAAACCTCCCCTGATTCATAATTCCAAAATGTTGAAATAGAAACTTTTCTAAGAAACAATCCTAGAATTAAGATCACAAAGATCATGCAGACTAAACTTCTCAATTTGCAGATATAGAAACTGACATGACACTAGGTAGACATGGAGGAGTAACTCAAACATGAGTATCTAGACCAGTCAGGCTTTCTGGCTATTCATCCAGTCCCTTTTCCACTCTGCCACACTACTCTGCTTCTCTTAATTCAGTGATTTTCAACCCTTTTCATCTCATGGCACACATAAACTAATTACTAAAAGTCTGTGGCACACCAAAAAATATGTTTTTGCCAATCTGACCAAAAAAAGGTACGATTTTGATTCATTCACAGCAGACAGTTATTGTTGTGTTGGCTGTTGTCCTTTTTTTTATTTGACAGTCTAAGGCAGTGGTTCTCAACCTTCCTAATGCCGCGACCCTTTAATACAGTTCCTCATGTTGTGGTGACCCCCAACCATGAAATTATTTTCCTTGCTACTTCATAACTGTAATTTTGCTACTGTTATGAATCGTAATGTAAATATCTGATATGCAGGATGTATTTTCATTGTTACAAATTAAACATACATAATTAAAGCATAGTGATTAATCACAAAAACAATATGTAATTATATACGTGTTTTCCGATGGTCTTCGGCGACCCCTGTGAAAGGGTCGTTCGACCCCCAAAGGGGTCGCAACCCACAAGTTGAGAACCGCTGGTCTAAATTGTCAGGTATTGCACTAAGAGATCACTGGTTCGTGATTCCGTTCAGGGCACATGCCCAGGTTGCGTGCTCAATCCCTGGTAGGGGGTATGTAGGAGGCAGCCAATCGGTGTTTTGCTCTCACATTGATATTTCTATCTCTTTCTCCCTCTCCCTTTTTTTCTCTCTTAAAAAAAAGAAAGTAGAATTCCTGGGGCACACTGGTTGAAAATTGCTGTTTTAATCTAAACCCCGGGCTAACTTGGTCCTCCAATTTCTTAATGAACTCCAACTTAAGTACATTGGAAGAGGAAGTGGTAGAACTTAAACTAACAACTTTGTATTTATTGTTACCCTGTAAGCTCACTGAAGCTAACAGTTTTCACTTTTTAAAGATCTTTTTTCCTGTTCCCAGAAAAGCACTTGGTCCTGCTGCGAGATGGAAGGACACTTATAGGCTTTTTGAGAAGCATTGACCAATTTGGTATGTATTAGTTATAGACTTCTTTACACTCTGGATAATAAGAGCTGCCGGTCGTATTTTTGTTATTTCATATTGTAAGGCATTTATCTGCAACTTTTTCATGTGTCTGGCATAATGGAATACTGTCCTAAGTCATTACATCATTGTTTCCTAAATTATGACAAGATGATTCAAAAGCTTGTATTTTCAAGCTTGTATTTCTAAAACTGGTTTTCACTAGAACATAAGATTATAATGTCTTGGACTATTGTTTTTATTTTCCCCATTAGAGGGAGCCAAAAGATAGAAATAAACTCAGTCCGCTGAAAAAGCTGCTCATTTGTACATTGGCTTGGGTGCGACTACTCTTCAAAGCAGTTCCTGCACTGAAGGTAATCCCCCCCATCCAATGAAAATTGGATAGAAGGCACTTTCTGAAGCTTGTTAGGGACCCCAACATTAAGCTCAAGATTTTTCACTTAAGGATACATCCTACTCAAGAATCTCAGTCTTTGTTTTGCATCTTGCATTTTTCTAAAGAGATCTATGTTTGCTTTTGTTTCAAGAAACTTCTTAATTCATATCAACATTTGTTGGACATCTTCTAGGTCAGTGGATTTGGGCATGAGGAAAATAACAATGTAATTGAAACACAAGAGTTATAGAAGTTAAAAAATATAGATACCTGCTTTCTTCAAATAAGGCAAAGAAAAAAATAATTCTTAACATATTGGGAGTTCTAAATCTTTTTTAAAAATACATTTTTATTGATTTTAGAGGAGAGGGATAAAAACATCAATGAGAGAGAGACATCAATCGGCTGCCTCCTGCACGCTCCCTAATGGGGATTAAGCCCACAACCCAGGCATGTGCCTTGATCGGGAATTGAACCGGATCATGGGTCGTCACTCAACCACTGAACCACACCAACTGGGCGGGGTTCTAAATCTTAAGTCAAATTCATCAGACTACTTTGAGCGAAAAGTAATAAATACTGACTACTCTCAGATTACCAGGTGTGGGTTATCTGACAACATGAAAAAATGAGTTTTTGCTGTATCATAATTCATGGATGCTTGTATTGGGTTAAGTAAATCCTAAGTACTGAAACAAAGTTATATTTTGGTAACTCATCACATGCACACACCCCTCAACATAGAAAAAACTAGAGTTTTAATCTTTGCAGTTGTTTAGAGACTTCCAAGTGCCCTACTCATTTATATTTTCTTACAACCATGTTCATTTTAACAGTTAACTGATAAATGAATTTAATTTTTTTAAACTTTTCCCCACCATCACTCATGTATTAGTGCAACATAATCCTAGATACTCTCTCAGTTTGTAATTGGTTAAACATCTCTTAAGTGGTGTGTTGTAAAGAAATAGGAGATTGTGTTTGAAATTTTAGTTTTTCCTAAAGTCAGAAAGTTTTGCAATCATGTTTAACTAAATCTTTTTTACTCAAAATAACTGAGTTATAGACCTTTACCCAGTAATTTAAACTGAATATCTTTGTTTTTTCCCTATACACTTATAGCTAATTTAGTGCTACATCAGACTGTGGAGCGTATTCATGTGGGCAAAAAATACGGTGATATTCCTCGAGGGATTTTTGTGGTCAGAGGAGAAAATGTGGTCCTACTAGGAGAAATAGTAAGTGAAAACTGTTAAGCTGCTATAGCATGGGTCTTGATAATTATGATAGTTTTTTGTTTTGTTGTTTGTTTGGGGGTTGTTTTTTTTGGTCTTTTCAAGAAGAAAAATACATTTTCCACATTTCACCCAGCTTCTCACAGGAAACCACCAAATTAGCTTAGGAAAGCCACAATTATAAAAGGAAAGTTATAGATAATTAACTTTGTTTCAGTGCCTCTTGGCATTTTTAAAGATTGGATCCCATTAGCAGCAAAATATCATTAATTTTACCTAATATCTTCAAAAACTGCCATCCTGCAAATGTGTTCATTAACAAATTATTTCTGCTATTTCTAATAGCAGAAAATTGAAAAACTTGAAAAGAATGATTTGATAAAGATTTATATACATTTATATTTTGTAGTTGTTTAAGCAGTTGGTCATAAGTAGTTTTTCATAACAAAGTTAGCTGTGTTGGGGAGGAAAGTCACAATGCATATTCAGTGTGATACCCATATTCTTAAAGGGGAGAGGGGAAGGAATGGATGTAGGAGAAGCCTTTCTGTAAACTATCCTAGTAATGGAGTTCAGTCAGCTTCACCTGAATCCTTAGCTCAAGACCAATGAGGAAAAAGAAAACGACTAGCTGACAGGTGTGAAGTTAAATCTTCTAGCGTGTGTGTGTGTGTGTGTGTGTGTGTGTGTGTGTACACACGTATATACACACATGTATGCATATATATACAAAACTATTAGAAAACTTATATACAGGGCGGGACAAAGTAGGTTTACACTTCTTCATATGAAAAAGAATACAGTAATTAATTAGTAATACAAGAATAAACTGTTTCGTGTACTCACAACTATAAACCTACTTTTGCCCAACTCTATATATAAAACTAAGAAGCACTCAACATTTTAAAAAGATAGACCTGATTTCATGTTTTACATGAAACGTAACTTAAAAGTACCTTATTTAATACCTTTGACTTGATCCTGCTACTTCTGATTATTGGGTCCAATAATCAGAAAAACTTTGATGTTTGCTTGATTTTATCTTTTCCTATTTTGTTTTTAAAGTTTTCAGTAAATTTCCCAATACCTAGCCACATCTTAAGTCAGGTTTTGAGAGTATTGATTCATTTTAACAAAAAGCCATTTGAGAAATTGAGGTAATTCTGCCAGGGTCCAATTGGTTCAGAGACCTTGTATGAAATAGTTAGCTGAAAATGACTACTCAATACTACCCAAGTGTGGCTATGAAATGTCTTTTTCTAATTTTTAAAATATTTTTGTAGTTGATGCTTTTGGTTCAGTGTATCATTTCTTCCATGTTTATGCAGCAGAAATTGTCATCTCCATGTATTATGTAAAGGTTAAAATAAAGCACTATACTACCTGGAGACGTGACTGTGCAGTAGTCTGCCAGTATATTAAGAGGGGCTAACCCAGGGGTGGGCAAACTTTTTGACTCGAGGGCCACAATGGGTTCTTAAACTGGACCGGAGGGCCGGAACAAAAGCATGGATGGAGTGTTTGTGTGAACTAATATAAATTCAAAGTAAACATCATTACATAAAAGGGTACGGTCTTTTTTTTTTTTTAGTTTTATTCATTTCAAAAGGGCCGGATCCGGCCCGCGGGCCGTAGTTTGCCCACGGCTGGGCTAACCCCTCTCTGGTCAGTAGGATTGTCGTTGATTATTTTTTTTCTTTTTTTATACTTCTCTGAATTTAATTTTTGAAGAGGAGATCTATTACTTGCTATTAGGGATAAAGAGCTAAGTTAAAATATTTACACATACTCTGCTTCAGATTTATAGTAGTGAACATCACAGAAATGCTTTCTATGCCAGTTACATTGGCACAAATTGACCCTATGTAGATATATGTATATGTGAAGAGAAATGAATGAACTTGTGTTTGTTCTTAAAGATTCATTATATCCTGGTAGCCCTTTTGTGGAGAAAAGTACTCTTTTTATATATTATGGTTTGGATGCTGTAGAATTTTTGCAGTGGTAACACTAAAGAAAAACAGGAATGCTTACATAGTTACATGAATCAATAGTCAGTTTGAAGAAATTAAGTACAAATTCAAGGGAAGCCATCTAGATTCTGCAAACATTTCATTGCTTAAGAAGTCCCTGGATTCTGCCTCAAGGATGGTGGTACAAAGTCTAAAGTAACAAGACAGATTCTTGGAAACAGCATCATCATAACCACATAAATAGCTCAATGAGTAACATACTGAAAAGTCCAGGAGGCAGTAAACTAAGCTAAGAACCTGATCTTCCCTTCCGCTGCTACCCAGGGGTTATGAGGGCAGGTTACACTTGATAACATATTTTTCTGGGTGCAGTTAACATTTGACCCAGGGCAGATTTTGCTTATGTCATTTGTGTGGCTTTCATCTAACCTCTCTGGAGAGAGTCCTTCATCTGATGTGTCACAGCCTGTGGGTTCTGAGGCCTTGGCGGCATCTGAAGATTAGCATCCAGTGGAACATCTGGAGAGTTTGTTTATGTGTAATGCCTTTACAGAATTTTATCAGTGAAAGAGAAGTGGATAAGAACTAAGAATATCCTGTTTGTATCGGCTTTTCAGTTACAAAAACAGTAATACCTGTAAGTTCATTTTAAAGAGAATGAACTGAATCTATGGATAATAGTGAGATGCTTTTATAGTAAGATTCTGCATTACAAGATTAGTTATCAAATGTTTATGAGTTATTTAAAAATAAAACAAACATTTTATGCCATATTAAAAAAAAAATTACAGTCAATATTTGCATTGTGGGTCTTTTAAGAAGTCAATATATACATGGAAAAATTGGAAAGTTATTCACCAACTTGTTTTTCCTCCATACTGGAATTAAGGATTTTTTTCTGCTTGTCTGTTTTTTTCATCTTTTTTTTTTTAGTCCTCACCCGAGGATATTTTTGCATTGATTTTTAGAGAGAGTGGAAGGGAGAAGGAGAGACAGAGAGAAACATCAGTGTGAGAGAGACACATCGATTGGTTGCCTCCCGCATGCACCCCGACCAGGGCCAGGAATCTGCAACCGAGATACAGGCCCTTGACTGGAATGGAACCTGGGACCCATCAGTCTGCAAGCCGATGCTCTATCCACTGAGCCTAACTGGCTAGGGCTGCTTGGCTGGTTTTTAAATATCATACAATGAGCATCGATTTTTTTTAAATAATGGCAAAAATATTTTAGTAAGTAAAATGATTTTTTTGTAAAATCCTCACCCAGTGATTCGTTTTTCATTGAATGAGAGAGAGAGAAATAGTTGCTTAGAGAAAGAGAGAGAGAGAGAGAAACATTGGTCAGTTGCTTCCCGTAAAGCCTGACCAGGAATCAAACTTCACCGCCTTTTGGTGTATGGGATGACACTCTTCAACTGAGCAGTAAGCAGGGCATTAAGCAAAACAAATTTTAATTCAAGTAGAGAACTATATTGAGGTCGAACTGGTGTGGTAATCTAACTGCTCTGCTGAGGTTTTCTCTAGACTTGTTGTCATAGAGGGGAAAGGAGTCTTGTGTTTTCATTTAAAGACTCCTAGTTAATGCAACAGAAGACAGTTTATTGCAACGGTTCTCAACCTGTGGTCGCAACATCTTTGGGGGTCGAATGACCCTTTCACAGGGGTCGCCTAAATACATCCTGCATATCAGATATTTACATTACAATTCATAACAATAGCAAAATTACAGTGATGAAGTAGCAATGAAAATAATTTTATGGTTGGGGGTCACCACAACATGAGGAACTGTATTAAAGGGTCGCAGCATTAGGAAGGTTGAGAACCACTGGTTTATTGCCTTTGGTGGGAGGGGGTGCTTCTTTGACTCAGTGTTCTCTACCTTATTGAGCTACAACCACCAGAATTTAAGCTGACTTTGATAATGCAAATATACAAAACATATCTAAAGCCATCTTGGCCTCGGTAACTTCTCTCTTGGGTTCTCTTGGGTTGGAGAGCGAGCCTTTTTTATTTATATATTTAGTTAATTTTTAAGAAAAGTAGTTATTGACTAGTGTAGGACTTCGGACAACCTAAAGCTTTGTTATACACATTAAACACTGTAACTGATCCCTATTACCACATTCATGTAAGTACTCTATAGTAGTGTGGCCAGCCATTTCTTTGTAAAACTTATCTATTTCTAGGAGAAGGATATTTCAGCCATGTCACAATTATGAAAAAATACCCAAGCCTGACATAGGAATCCATTTGCCTTGAGATCTGCAGTGTCTACTATTCTTGGTCAGCTGAAGTTTCTTAAACCTTGTTTTGTAGGACTTGGAAAAGGAGAGTGACACACCCTTGCAGCAAGTGTCTATTGAAGAAATTCTAGAAGAACAAAGGGTAGAACAGCAGACCAAGCTGGAAAACGAGAAGCTGAAAGTTCAGGCTCTTAAAGATCGAGGTCTCTCCATTCCTCGAGCAGACACCCTTGATGAGTATTAACTCTTTTGCTCCGAGGCTATTGCTCTTGGGGAGCAGGGACTCACTGAATGAAAATGACGTTTTTCTTTTGGATTCTTTCACATATGCAACATGAAGAAATCATGTGGCTTTTCCCCCTTTTTATTAACAAAATCATTGTTTAAAGAAATAGCTGGATGGACTCCTTTCACACATCACTATGGAGCCAGCAACTACTTTTCTATGTTGCTCTTCTCATCCCAAATTAGAGTTTACAGGGGATAGTCTTCATTTGCTTGTAAATAAAATATGAATCTCAAAGTTGTCATGTTATTTCCCAAGTTTGAGTTGCCTCCAATGAATAAGCAAAATTAAGTTTCTGGTCTCAAAGGTATAACCAGTCCACACACTGGGATTTCCCCTCTGTCACACTTGCAAGTTGCTAGTTACTTATGAAGGAATATTTTCATACTAGGTATCTTGTGGTCATCCCCTCTCCCCACTGATGAGAAAAACACATTTTCGGCGTTCAGGAAGGGGCTTTCCGTGAAGTTTCACAGTTACTGGTTATAACAAAAGCCTCAGGTGTGAGAAACAACATCACTACTAAAGTTGCTGTTCCGGCTTCACCAACAGCTATTCAAAACAAGGTTCCCCTGAGATCCAGCATTTAACTAAGGTGACTTTTTCTCTGTTAATTTAGTTCAGTTTTCTAGCCCTTCGGATTGAATCTTGAGCCTCTTATGCTATTCTCATCAAAGAGGAGCACAAACAAAATGGTGTTTCAGTGGCTGATACATCTACGTTATTCCTGCTGACCACCCACAATGATGCCACTTTTCTAGTATGATGTTTACTGCGTGGTAAGTGTAACAGGCTGCTTGCAGAGAGGACAGTGTAGTTCAGTGGACAATGTACTGAGCTGGGAATTTAGGAGTTTATGTTAAAATTTTCACTTTGTTCTACCCCTAGCATCTTAGGCTTGAGCAAGTCTCTCTTCTGAATTCTCAGGGTTTTTTTAACTGTGGAATTATTACAGGCATTTCATTTTCATAATCTGTTGAGCAAAGATGTCCTTTTCATAAGATTTATATACATTCCCCCTGAATTATTTTATAGCATTACATAGACAACATTTTATGAGCTCAGGTGTTTTTAAAACTGCCCCAGATGCCTATAAACCATTTGATTGCTGAGCTCTTCATCACTGAGTTGATTTTAACATAATTTGTGAAGAAACAGCTGTACTTAATGATTATCAAGTGTGTTGTGCCTCAAACCATTTAATAACCAGAATTTTTTAACTACTCATACAAAGGGAGAAAAACACCATCACCACCTTTTGAAAAACATGTCTAACTAGATAATATTTGTTGGGAGTCAGCAGGATTACAGCATTTGCTTTTTTAAGCACCACTGTTTCAGAACTTTTGATCCTTCAAGAAATTTGGACTCTATCTAATTTTTTCAACCTTCTTCAACTTCAAACACAATAACAGGAGTTATAATTTATTATGTTAAAGGAGGAAAAGAGACTGAATTCTAACAATTTCCCAATCATAGCAAGGTTTGGGCCATTGTTTTTAGACCTTTGTCATGCAGGCAGCATCGAAGAATTAGACCTCACAAATGAAACTAGACTACCAGCTTCCTTCCTCTTCATCACCAGGATGTTCAATGAAGTGGCTTGCCCTCAGCTCTGCACAGCCCAGGATTTTTGCAGATACTGAAATCATGCTTTTTTTCCTATTTGTACCTTCGTTTTATCTTTTTTATTTTTTAATTGATTTTAGTGAGAGGAACGGGGAGGCACACCCCCTGACCAGGGATCGAACCTGCAACCTGGGTATGTGCCCTGATGGGGAATTGAACCTGCAACTCTTGGTGTATGGGACAATGCTCCGACCAACTGAACCACACCAGCCAGGGCCTGTTTTATTTTTTAATAGTTTCTTCCAATAGGGGTTCCCATGAGACTGCTTTCAAGGAAGACAAATGAGGAAGATCTACCGAAACCCCTTTCCTGGCCATCTTTATTCTGATATACTTGAGTACAGCAGCGTATCTCTTACTCTTCCAGCTGGTCTCTTTCCCTTTCCTTGGCCTTTGATCTTACATTGCATGCTCTTAGCTAAGTTTAAACCACACTATCTGCTTCCCTCCCCAAGTCTGATAAACTCCCAAAAGGCCCTGAAAACCTAACAATAGCCAGATACCCTTATAATGTCTATTATGGAAGGTTCCTCAGGGAAGCCGTGTCAACGTGAACCCCACAGGTATTGCACAGAGGTGAAGACAGAAAAATGGTCTACAAGTGTTGGCTGGCAGTCCCAGGCAGAGGGCAGTGCAGACAGCAGAGGGTGTAGGCCAGCAGGCAGAGAGGATACACCTACTGTGAGCAGTTTCCAACCTCTTGTCTCAGATTCATAGATGATATTCATGGTGGCACTGCACAGCTCAAGAAATGGATCCCAGGAATTGTACCTGGCAAGAAAATAGGAGAGGCAATTAATGAGTAGTCCCCCACCCCTTGACTCCCCGCCCCAAAAAAGAAATTATACATACATACGTGTGTGTGTCTATGTGTCTGTGGGGCATTTTCTCACCTAAGTCATACTAAAAACTAAAAACGATAAACATCCAATTTCCTTTCTCATTAGGAGCCAGCATTCCCCGTGAGGTACAAATAAGGCATTTTGGTTGTAGATGTTGCAGGCTGATGCACTAATGCTGAACCAACCTTCCAGCTTGAAGCTAACCAACCTTCCTCATAATCAAGGAAAGAGTGACAGGAAAGAGTCTAACTCCTACATCACCTAGGAGTTAATGTGAGCTGAGCAGGAATGACATCGGTGATATAATGCACATGTGTTGTACCAATGCAAGGACTCCTAACAGTGACACAATCTGTTATGACTAGGTTAAACCCGGGAGAGGTCAAGTTTTTGCCAATGAGACTGAACATGTTAAACCCAGGAGAGGTCAAGTTTTTGCCAATGAGACTGAAGTTATAACCAGCATTTAAAATTGGAATAGCCCGTGGCCAGGTGGCTCTGCTGATTGGAGTATTGTCCCATACATCAAAAGATTGCAGGTCAGGGCACATACCTAGGTTATAGGTTTAATCCCTGGGTGGGGCACATATGGGAGGCAACTGATCGATGTTTCTCTCTTCTTTCTTTCTCTCTCTCTCTCTCTCATCAAGAAAAACATATCTTCTTTCTTTCTCTCTCTCTCTCTCTCATCAAGAAAAACATAGCTCAATGGTTAGAGTGTTGGCTTGTGCACCAGAGGGTAGCGGGTTTGATTCCGGTCAAGGGCACATATGTGGGTTGCAAGTTCCATCTCCAGCCTTAGTTGGGGCAGGTGCAGAAGGCAACCAATTGATGTGTCTCTCTTACATCAATGTTTCTCTCTCCCTCCTCCCTTCCACTCTCTCTAAAAATCAATGGAAAAAATATTCTCGGGTAAGGATTAAAATACATAATTAAAAATTAAAAATTGGAATAGAATATAGAGTGCATTACATAAAATGTATACATGCATGTATAAAATATATTTATCGGTAGCTGTTCAGAAACATTCAAAAAACTGCCTTTGTAGTAAATTGTTATATGCTATTACAAATAGGAAAGAAAAGTATATGTCCATTCCCCATCTTTCACCTCACCCCCTGAAAATCACCTGTGCCCTGGATGGGGCTAGAATTTGTGGTTCTCTGTGCTTGGAACATGCTTGCCCCAGATAGCTGCAGGGTCCTGCCCTCACAATCCTCAGATCTCTGCTCAACTTTCACCTTCCCTGACTACCTCTTTCAAGTAGCACTTCCTGCCCTGGCCAGTGTGGCTCAGTTGGTTGGGTGTCATCCCATGCACCAAAGGGTTGCCAGTTCGATTCACAATCAGGGCATATGCTTGGGTTGTTGGATTGATCCCTGGTATGGCGCATGCAGGAGGCAGCCAATGGTATTTCCCTCTCCTCTGTCTCTCTCTCTCTCTCCCTTACCATACCCTCAGTGAACTTGTACTTACAGTCACCCTTGTACAAATAAGAGTAATATCTGTGAAATGATGGTGACCAACTCAGATTAAGGAATTGCGTGCTGGATTACATAAATGTATTATAAGGGAAGATAATCAATAATTACCTCCAGCCTGGCTGGCATGGGTCAGTGGTTGAGCGTCAACCTATGAACCAGGAGGTCATGGTTTGATAACCAGTCAGGGCACATGCCTGGGTTGCAGGCTAGATCTCTCTCTCCCTCTGCCTTCTTCTCTGAAATCAATAAAAAATATATTAAAAAAATAATAATTACTTCCAATCCAAGTAGTCAAACTTGCCTTAACTTTCTGCTGCCTTCTCACAGTGGAGGAAAACACTCTATTCTCTCAATATTAAATAAGTAAATAGCCCTAGCTGGTTTGGCTCAGTGGTTAGAGCATCTGCCTGCGGACTGAAAAGTCTTGGGTTCGATTCCAATCAAGGGCGCATGCCTGGGTTGCAGGCTCGATTCCCAGTAGGGGGTGTGCGGGAGGCAGCCAATCAGTGATTCTCATCATTGCTGTTTCTATCTCTCTTGTCCCCTATCCTTCCTCTCTGAAATCAATTAAAAAATAATGTTTTTAAAAAAAGCAAATACCTTATAAGCAGTCCAAGGTTTGCCCTCACCTCCAGGCTGGCCACCCTTAAGAGGTGTAAAACAATCAACAGTTATTGAGAATCTATAAAGTACCAGGTTCTATATTTTCCAATAATTTATTAAACACTAGAAGCCTGGTGCATGAAATTCACAGGATGTCTGACTGATGGCTTAGGCCTGCTCCCCACAGGGAGCCAGCAGTCAGACCAAGGGACCCCAGCAGTGCATGATTAGGGCTGGGGAGGGACAAGGAGGTTGGCCAGCCAGGGAGGGACTGCAGGAGGGCTCCAGGGCATGTCCAGCCCTTCTTGCTCAGTCCTGATCAGCTGGACCCCAGCAGCAAGCTAACCTACCAGTCAGAGCGTCTGCCCCCTGGTGGTCAATGCACATCATAGTGAGTAGTTGAGTGGCCTTAGCATATGATTAGCATATTATACTTTGATTGGTTGGACAGCTGACCAAACACTTAGCATATTGGGCTTTTATTATATAGGATTTATTCAGTGTCTATTAATGATCAGGCACTGTGCTAAGTGCTAGATATTAAAAAAAACTTGGAAAAATGCAAGTCCTTATGGAGTTTACAGATATGTAAAAAATAGGGAACTGTGTGGGGGAGGGGGTATAAGGAAATATCAAATATCTGTACTTTCCTCTCAACTTTGCTGACCTAGAACTACTCTAAAAAATTAAATCTCTTAAAAAATGGAGGAGGGGGAGACAGGAGCAGAGAAATGGGCAATAGTGTTATTGATACTGTGACAAACATCTAACAAGGAGGCCCAAAGGGAAAAGTATTGAATTCTAATTAAGAAGTAGGGTGTGAGCCCAGCCAGTGTGGCTTGGTGGTTGAGTGTCAACCTATGACCCAGGAGGTCACAGTTTGATTCTTGGTCAGGGTACATGCCCAGGTTGCAGGCTCTATCCCCAGTAGGGGGTATGCAGGAGGCAGCCAATCAATGATTCTCATCATTGATGTTTCTATTTCTCCCTCTCCCATCCTCTCTGAGATCAATAAAAATATATTCTAGAAAAAAGAAGTAGGGTGATGTGGCGCCCAAAGGGAAGCCCTTGAGGACAGGTAACACTGTGAGCTGCCTTGAATGAGGAGAAGGCATGCATGGGGCAGACCGCAGGCAGTCACCTCAGCACAATGCTAAGAGTGGCTGGAGGGGAAAGCCAGGGTGAGAATTCAGAGGCCCAGAGACTGGGCTGAGAAGTCCAGATTTCATCTTATGGGGTCTTGATGTATTATTACCTCATTTAAGCCATATAACTCCTCCCCAAAGGATTACAAAAAGGAAAACAAAACATCTCTCTATTCTACAGATAAGAAAGTTGAGATTGAAGATGTGAGCGACTCCAACCATAAAGTAAGTGGTGGAACCAGGACTGAAGGTCTCCAAATACAAAACCTGTGCTTTCTCCGCTCCAGTTCACAGCATCCTCACTACCATCCCAACCAACCCAAAGGCAGGTGCTGTTGCCCAGTGCTCACCTGCTCTGAGCCAGGGCCCAGACAAGTTCAAGGTCCCTCTCCTCAACGCTCAGGAACCTGCAGAGGAATTAATCTTCCACCACAACCTACAATTCCATGGCTGAACAATCAAAGTTCCCCAGGACAGCCAGCTCTCAACCCTCAGATCCCTTCTCCATGTTGTTGGCCATTTGTTCTTCCTGGGACACCCACACTCCATCCTCTCTATCTCAAACCTGGCTAACTCCTTCTTGCACTTCCCACACGCAGCTCTCATGTCACTTCCTCCCAGAAGCCGTCCATAACACTCCTCCCTCTCCCTGTGTAATTAGGTGTTCCATCCCTTGTACTTCCAAAACCCCTCATCTGCTCTACAACTTTCCATATTGGATCATATGGTTCATTTTCCTCATAGCTGTAGAGCCACAGTGGATACTCAATAAAGGATTGTTGAATGAATGAATGAATGAGTGGAGTCTTCTTTTCTGCTCACCCTGTCTCCCTCCCCTGGCCCCCGGCCTTCCTCTCCAAAACTCTGCAAAGCCTCAGCCAGATCTCTGGTATCTTCCTTCTGACCAGTTGTGTCCATCTGATCTCCCTGGGGGGCTCTGCCCTTAAGAAGCAAAGCCAGATACAGATGACGTCCAGAACCAGAGGAAATTCCCATGCCTCTCTCCCCACCTTAGTCAGAGAGACAGTGAGAGTTAACAGTCATGCGGCCTGAGGAAGAGAAGAAAGCCTTGGCCTGGGGGAGGTCACCAACACCCTCCTCCTTTGAGTCAATGGCTGCCTCTGACATCAGCAACAGCCCTAATCCTCAGTCCTCCAGTGTCCCCACACCACTTCCTCCCCTCTCACCAGGGCCATAATTCTCCTCAGGATGGCAACAGCAGGGCCTTGAATCTTGAACATTATCTGCAGGGCCTGTCCCATAATAACTCCCTCCCACCACCTCCACTGGGGCACACGTGCACCAGGGCTCACGTGTACCAAGAAGGGAGGAGCAGCTGTCTCAGCAACCACCTGCACCTTCTCCTTCCAAGTCTACGAAAGGCAGAGCCCCCATCACCCCCCGCCTCTCTCTCTCTCTCTCTCTCTCTCTCTCTCTCTCTCACACACACACACACACACACACACACACACACACACACACACACACAATGAACAACAGAGGCCAAGGCCTCTTCCTTCGGTCCAGTCTTCCCTTTGGGGCTCAGAGCAAAGCCCATAGGCAGGTTTCCTGATTCAGAAGACATACTTGCACCCCCAGCTGCTTCCCCAATTGATCACCCAATAGAGAAGGAGCAAGCACCTGCTCTGTGCCCGGCTTGGAGCTGAGTGCTGGGGGGTGAGGGAGCTGGGCGGGGGGCACCTGCCTCAGGGACAAACCGTCCCACAGAAGGAACAAGCGAGCACTCACAAACCATTCCACAAATCAGGACGGAGAGATGACGCTCTAGGGGTGCTGACAGGAAGGGTGTGAGTCAAAGGAACAAGTCATTCCAGAAGGAAGGCTGCACAGAGGCGGGGCCACAGTGGGCCTGAGGAATGGGCCAGGGGCCTGGGGGCAGCCACTGCTGGCCCCTTCCCACTGCTTCACCAGGGATTGAAATGGGGTGTGAGGGCTCCAGGCACCAGGCCTGGCTTTGAGCAGGTCCTGTCTCCTTCATCCTTTCTAGAGTGAGGGAGACAGTGGGAGGTGGTGGGGACCTGCTACTGCTCCCTGATTTTTAGGCCTTCCCTCCGCCTCCGGGCAGTGGTGACAGGGCAGGGAACTCTCACTGGAGGAAGGCCTGGGCCAGCGGCAAATCAGTGTGATTCCCTTGGCCTCCCAATATTGTTGCCAGGTGAATCAGGCTTAAAAGCAATTTCAAGGCCAACCTTAAAGAGAAAAGATTTCATCAGAGAGCAGCATGCAGGCTGGGCGGGTATGCGCGCCCCCCCCCTCCCCCCACGCCCCCGTGGTGGAGTATGGAGAACAGCAGAGAGACTCTGCTGCCTCATGAGTCTCGATTAGAGCACAGGCCCCCAGAGTGCAGACTGGAGTGAGCACCCCAGGGCCCTGTCTTCTCAGCCTTTCAGCTCATGCCAAGCGCTTGGGGGCAGCCTGTCCTGCCTGGGTACTCGGGGAGAGTGTGGGTAAGGGTGTAGGGTATGCCAGGCCCAGGTCCCTCTCCTTGGGTCTCTGGCCAGTTCTACCCTCTGTTTGCAGCTTATGGGGACACAGCACTGACGTATCATCCTTGTGCCAGCACAAACCCCTAAGGAGGGGGAACTATCTCTGACTAGGGCTTTGGTGACGTAGTTTATACAAATGGCTGAGTAAATAATTGAGCAGCTGAACATACAAGTGTCTGGGGGCTGCTGGGAGCTGTGAGAAGATGGACTAAAGGTGAGGAGATTTGTGTTGTTGTCCCAGCCCTGCCACTCTCTGGACTTTGGGCTCCTCACCCAGGGTCTCGGTCTCTACCAGCTCCGACCGCTAAGTTCTTAGCGGACACCTGGGCACTGTCCGAGGCGGCGTCTCCCTAAACACCGTGTGCAGTTCACAGAGCACCTGCAGAGCAATCACCTGGGAATGTTTTTTTTTTTTAATTTTTTTAAAAATATATTTTATTGATTTTTTACAGAGAGGAAGGGAGAGGGATAGAGAGTTAGAAACATTGATGAGAGAGAAACATGGATCAGCTGCCTCCTGCACATCTCCCACTGGGGATGTGCCTGCAACCAAGGTACATGCCCTTGACTGGAATCGAACCTGGGACCCTTCAGTCCGCAGGCCGACGCTTTATCCGCTGAGCCAAACCAGTCAGGGCCTGGGAATGTTTTTTAAACACAGCTTTCAAAGCCTCAATTGTAGACCCTTTAAGTCTGGAGTTTCTGCGGATGAGGGCTAGAAAACCTGTTTCAAACAGCCCCTCCCCACCCCCTCCACTCCCCCACCCCCATCGGATGGTGTCTGCTTTCTTCTAGACCGCCTTTACCTCACTGCTTCCTCTCTCCCCTCCATTCACTGAGTCTGGCTCCAGCCTTTTCCTCCTTTCTTGCCCTGTTCCACCCCCTCCCCTCCCCACAAATGGCCAGAGCAGCCGTGTGAAGCAATCCCTCTATCCTTGACCCCTTCCTTTGAGCAGTGAGTGATGGCTTTTTTTTAATCTCCTGCGATTAACCGCAGCCTTCAGCTGGGAGCATTTAAGACACAGAACTCAGGGTCACAGCCACAGCTGCGGGACTCAGAGGCAGACCTTGACGGGCTCGGGAAGGACGGAAGGAACCACCTTTGAGAGCAGAGGCAACAGCAGCCGCAGCAGCTACATTACCGCAACCAGCCGCCAGGAAACAATGCTCCAGGCAACGTTTAAGCTGTGTGCTGGGAGCTCCTACCGGCACGTGCGCAACATGAAGGGTGAGCTCCCTGGGGGAGAGGGCGCTCGTGGTGGTGACCAGGACTCTCAGGCACCTGGCTTAGTGGGGGAAACACTGGACTGGGGGCAACCCACTCAGGTCCCGATCCCAGCTGTGCCTTATTGGGCGATCATGTCCCTTGTGGACCTCACTTTTCCCATTGGAAGAACTGGGCTGGAGATCAAGATGCCTTTGTCCCTTCTGGGTTCTGTAATGTCTGGTCTCCCCTCCAGGGCTCCAATCTTCCTTGACCTCTTCCTGACTCTGCCTCCCTCTAGGATTGGTCCCAAGGGTAGCAGGAAGGACTAGCCATAGTGGTAGAGGTAGGACTAAGCCTGGACTCCAACGAGCCATGCTGGCAAGCCTAAGACACGGGCAGGGAAGAAGAGGTGGGTGGAGAGAAGGAAAAGAAAGGGGAGTAAGACAGCAGAAGAGCAAAGACCCAGCTGCTGGCAGCTACACAGACCCTCAGGGACTGGTGTCTTCAATTCTGCTGTGGCAGGATTTTTCTGGTGTGAACAAAGCTTCTCTCTTTCAAGAGGGAAACTCTGGTGCAGCTCCTGCCTCCAGGCGGGACCAGGCAAGCCAGCCCAGATGGAAGGCAGATTTCTGGGCCCTGGAGGCAGCCTGGTGCAGTGTAGGGAGCCCTGGACTGGGAGTTGACCTGGCTCTAGTTCAGGTCCCTGCTAGGAATCTGTATGTTCCTGATCAAGTCACTTCCCTCTCCCAGCCAGTTTCCTCATCTGCAACAAGATGAAGAGGTGGAAGGGGCATATCCAGGCAACAGTTTCCTTCCCTTCCTGCAGGGTTGAGGCACCAGGCTGTGCTGGCCATTGGCCAGGAGCTGAACCGGAGGGCCCTGGGGGGCCCGACCCCCAGCACATGGATTAATCAGGTCCGGAGGCGGAGTTCTCTGCTTGGTAAGTGCTGAGGCTTCCGGGCTTCTGCCAGTGGCACAAGGCTCCCAGGTGCAAACACTGTGCACGTGGCCCTTGTCCCCGCCACCCCCAGGTCCTCTCCCTGTCACCTGCAGTGTCTAATCTAACTTGACCTGCAGGCTGAATCCTATGGCTTTGGTCTTGGCTCTTCAGAGGAAAGAGCAGGTCCAGAGATCAAAGGGAGGAAAGCTGGTGGGAGGCTAGGGGATCGGTAGGAAGCTTGGTCTCTCCTTGGCTGTGTGTCCAGGTTCCCGGCTGGAAGACACTCTCTATAGCGAGCAGGAGCTGGCCTATATCAACCAAGGAGAGGAGGCCATGAAGAAGGCCCTGGGCATCCTCAGCAGCCAGGAGGGCTGGAAGAAGGAGAACCAGCAGGTGAGGGAGTGTGTGGAGGAACAAAGCCAGCTGCGGGTCCCTGCTCTCCAGAATTCCTGTCTTGTGCAGTAGTCACTGGGTGACAAGTAGCTTTGAGAATTCTCCTTCCCCAAGAACATATCCTCAAGTATTCCCTCCCCCATCAAAGACATCCTGTAGACGGGCATTTGAGAAACATTGTTCCTATATCCTACCCTCCAAATACACTGTACACCTATTCAGCAGGGACCCTGGGCTAGAAATTCCAGTGCCAAGGAAGCCTGCTGACGGCTGAGCTTGCAGGGTGATCTGGACTCCCCTGCGAGTGGGCTGGACTAGAACACAGGTGGCCCACGCCTTCTGGGCTCTCTGCTCCTGAGCACTGCACCTTCACTGGGAACCAATAATGAGGCACATGTTAGAGGCCAGTGGATCTCTTGAGACTTTGGTTTTATCTTCACTGAAAGCTTACATGCTGCCCGTTGCCCAAAGTTTAGGTCAGTGGTTCTCAAACTTCCTAATGCCGCGACCCTTTAATATAGTTCCTCAGGTTGTGGTGACCCCCAACCATAAAATTATTTTCGTTGCTACTTCATAACTGTAATTTTGCTACTGTTATGAATCGTAATGTAAATATCTGATATGCAGGATGTATTTTCATTGTTACAAATTGAACATAATTAAAGCATAGTGATTAATCACAAAAACAATATGTAATTATGTGTTTTCCGATGGTCTTAGGCGACCCCTGTGAAAGGGTCGTTCGACCCCCAAAGGGGTCTCGACCCACAGGTTAAGAACTGCTGGTTTAGGTAAAAGCTTTCCTTCTCCAAGTTAACAGACTACTAGATTGGGAGTCAAGAAATCTGGGATTTAGGCCCAGCACTGCCCTTGGCTAAGGGTCTCTGGGCAAATCACTGACCTTCTTCTGGCCCTACATCTTTCTTGGATAAGGTACTGGGCTAAAAAAATCTTTAAAATCCCACCCACCATCTGTGTGTGTGTAACTATTTGGTTGTAGACCAGATTTTTTCCACTCCCACGATCTTGGAGCTTCTGAAGTCAAGTAAGGTCCTGCCCATCAATACTTGCCACCAGGAAAAAACGGCCCAGGGAGCAGGCGGTCACCTCTGGTCTTCAGCAGATGGACAAGGCTTGTGGCAGGAAAGATCACCTGCAGTTCTACTCAGAAATAGTTCCAGGTTTCCTGATACTTAAGAGTTCTTCCGTCTCCTTCCTGCCTTGCCCAGAGTTGTTTATGTTCTCTGGAGTAGGAATATTTTCCTCTAACTTTATCCTGGGGCTCCTCTCGCTCCCTGACAGGCCAATGGAGACAAAGTGCTGAGTAAAGTGGTCCCAGACGTGGGCAAGGTTTTCCGGCTGGAGGTGGTGGTGGACCAGCCCATGGAGAGGCTTTATGAAGAGCTTGTGGAACGCATGGAGGCCATGGGAGAGTGGAACCCCAATGTCAAGGAGATCAAGGTGAGGAGAGCCCAGGTGTGAGTGACGGGGACCCAGGAGAGCCCAGTCGGAAAGGTGGCCAACGCTGTGAGTGGTGGTGCCTTACCCCCAGCACTGGCTAAGCAGTGATTCTGGTTCTCTGTGGCCTGGTAGGTCCTGCAGAAGATTGGAAAAGACACAGTGATCACCCACGAGCTGGCTGCAGAATCAGCAGGAAACCTCGTGGGGCCCCGGGACTTCGTGAGTGTGCGCTGTGCCAAGCGCCGAGGCTCCACCTGCGTGCTGGCTGGCATGGCCACGCAGTTCGGGCAGATGCCTGAGCAGAAAGGTGTCATCAGGTAATACTGGCAGCAGGGTCAAAAGCTCCCTTTCCTAACACAGGCCTGGGGGCCAAGCATGGCTCCAAAAACCCAATCCTTGGTCCCCACTCTCAACTTCCTTTTACAAAGGAAGATTCTCATTTTCCATTGCAGGGAAGACTAGATCAGCCCTACTTATATAGCCAGTTTGTCCTGATTCTCCCCAAAAGTTTAAAGACCTTAATTGTTTTCTAAAGCAAGAGGTTTAGCTGGTATGGTCAGGTGTGGCTGTACTAGTGATTAAAATATAATCTGCACCACTTAGAACCCAGCTGCTCCCTGAGTTCCTCAGGGGCCCCAGCCACCACCCTAGACCCTTTCCTCAACCTCCCTCTTATCCAGCAACTATAAGGGACCACAGGAAGCCTCCAGGTTCCAGCTCCAGTTCTAATCAGCATTTGTTCTGATAAGCTGGTAACCATGCCAACTGTTAAATACCACCCTCGGCGAAGGCCACTTCTCTGATGAGATTTGGAAAGACAAGGCTAGTAGAAGTGTGGCTAGTAGAACTCGTCAGCATGAACTGAACTGGCCTCTTGATTCAACTTCTCTTCAATTGACAGAGCTGAGCATGGCCCCACTTGCATGGTGCTCCACCCTCTGGCTGGGAGTCCATCAAAGACCAAACTCACTTGGCTGCTCAGCATTGACCTCAAGGTGAGAGGGGCATGGGAGGTGGCACAGTGGGAAGGTGGTGAGAGGAAAATAGTTTACCACTCCCACAGGGAATAGGAAAAATCCTTCCATTTGGAGAGAATTAGACTGTTGAAGGGAGAAGAGATTTGAGTAATGGCTTAATATTCCACCATCTCTCAAAAGCCCGCAATGGCTCCTTCTTACCTCTCATATCAAATCTCAACTCTCTAATTTTTTTTTAAAAAAAGGGGAAACTTAGGCCCAGAAAGGTATGCTCACTAGCTCAGGGTCACACAGCTGGGAAGATATGTCTTAATTTGTCTTGAGAACAAATCCTGTTCTTCTGACACTCTCATGACAGCAGGGCAGCAATGCGGTCCCTCCCGCAACTACGGAGGGACCTTGGTCCCGACTCCAGTCAACAAGGTTGCATGTATAAACAGAGCTAGAAGACTAAGACCAAACCGTAATGTGATAGGATCCAGAGGAGTCTAGAGTGGACCACCACCCACAAGATGGTCAAATTCTTTCATCTTTTACTCTAGGGATGGCTGCCAAAGACTATCATCAATCAAGTCCTATCACAGACCCAGGTGGACTTTGCCAACCACCTGCGCAAGCACCTGGAGTCCAGTCCTGCTCCTGAGGCCAGGTGTTGAAGACCAGCCTGTGGCTTCCCACTGTTCCCGCTGCATTGGCTTGTGTGCTCATCAGGAAAATCCCTTCCAGAAGCCTGGGAGTCTGCTTGAGATCATCTGGGGACTGTGGGTGGGGTGGTAGTGTATTTACATTATGATATTAGGACTCACATTGATAAAATTTTAGTACCAAGAAAATAGGGATGGTCTCATATAGAGGTCAAGCCTCCTAATTTCATTCACTGAATAGCTGGAAAATGAAGGTTAAGGGTCTCAAAATATCTGTAAAATTTTTCTCTGGCCCTTACAAGTCTACCTAAAAACACCTTAAAATGCTACTAGCTGAGAGAGGGTACAGAGGGTGCTAAATACAAGGATTGGGACCTCATGCTTTATGGGCTCAAGAGTTCCACTCCCTGCAGGCAGTGTGTGTGGAATATTAGGGTCTTACAAGAGGGGCTCCAGCAACTCTCTGCCCCTCCACCAAGCAAGCAGAGAGCTGCACCAAAGTGCGGGCAACTCCCCACAGCAGGTGCCTTCCAGAGACCTAGTTCAGGTTTTCTAGACCAAAAAAATACAAAAATAATTATTAGGCTGATTTCCCTACTACTTCCACGAGCACCAGTCAGAATAAAGAATCGTAACTGATACAAAAACTTCAGTCTGTACCTGTTTTAAAATTCTACTCTTAAGAAATCTATTTGAGTAAATGTCAACTTCACACTAAAGGAGTCCTAGATAAAAATCTTAAATTTTAATCCCCTAACTCATTAAAAGGAAAAACTACCGGGGACTTATATCATTCAATTATTTAGAATCTGTTATCAAAACCTTTCATAAAATTTAATTTCTAGGATAAGCACAAGCCTAATTCTTAAGAGCACTAAAATTGGTACCTGATTAATGGGTATTCAAAGGTGAAAATCATGACTGAGGATTTTTATTTACTTAATTAAAAGGAAGGATAGTCTGACTTTGGGTGGTGAACACATAATACAATATACAGATGACATATTATAGAACTGTACACCTGAAACTATATAAGTATTACTAAGATAACATTAAAAATAAATTTTATTATTTTCTCATTAGTGACTATTTAGACCTAACAAGGCAACTGAATCTTTACTTCAGTCTATTGTATCAGCTCTCAGCTTGGCTCAGGGATGCCAATTTCTCTGCTTTAGTAGGTCAATATTTTACTATTTTGAGAGATGGCTGGAAAAAGGGGTAATATGATGATAGCAAATTCCCCTTCTGAGAGTCAGAAAATTTATGCTTTAAAAATATAAACTGGGATGGGGTTACTTTGCTAAAATGTATACAACTTGAAGCTTTCCCATTCTAGTGCTAATAGCATTGATGATTTATACCATTTGAAAATAGAGTTCTATCTTATTTATTAAACAATTAGCAACAGCAGAAATTCTGATATTTATTAACGTATTGAAAATTTACAATTAGAGATATTTATTATTATTTATTCTGATTGTTTCATTGTTTCTTGGTCTATTTTTGAAATAGGTATAATTACTGTTTATCTGTCCAGGAGCTTCAGAGTGAGAGGGGATAGTTGTAGAAGTATTTTCTAGAACAGAAATATCATCTACTCCCCAGTAAGAGAAAATAGTTGTTTGGAGATGTATAGAGCAATATATACCCTGGTTTCAAAAGAGAACATATCAATAGTAAAGAAATGGGCTTTCAACACATAACATGGTTTTGAGCTTGATTATAATTTGCCTTCTTCAAACTATGCAACTGTATCTTTGAAATGACTGGGGAGATATTCTCCCACTTGTTTAACTTTGAATAAAGTAAGTTGTAATGATCTATTTACAAAAACCATTTTATACAGGACTATAGAGTATTCTTTGAGCCCTTCAAATGAACCTTGTCAGAACACACACGTTTTGAACATCAAGTATAAACAGACAAAATCATTATTCCTGCTATCTCTGATTTACGAAAGCCAAATGTACAAAAACTAATTTTATCATTTAAAAAGAGTAGGTTGTAATTATATTTCATAATTTGTATTTTACATAATTACATATGTGGTAACTTATATTATAAAGAATTTACCTCCAGCTTCCTCTAAATAACACAACCCTCATCTTAAAAGTTCTTCAAACTCTGATGATCCAGAAACTTTGTAGCCATGTTTGTCCTTTAAGACCAGACACAAGTAAACAGGTGTTTAAGGGTGACAGACTGAGACTCCAGCCTAAGATCATACTGATTCAGTGTGAGGTTTCCTGCTGAGATGTGGAATGGCCCAAATTAACATATTTGTCTTCTAGTTAGGAAAAAATATATTAGTCAAAACTACTGTTAAGATACCAACAGTCACTTGAAATTTGGGGAATTTCTTAATATATGGTGATTCTTGGCAACATATTACTACCTCGTGGTGAACCACTCTACCTGTTAACATAGGTAGGAATTTATATGCGGGAGAGTTTAGGGCCATCCTGGGAGGGCTGCATTGCCATTGATGTATAAAAAAGGGAGCCCAAGAAAACAGTCATTTTTACATTCTAGTGTTTAGTTTCTGAAAACTGCCCTTTAATCATCAGCTACACAAAGGAAGAGAAGCAAGGCAGGAAAACAAGCTGCACGTATTAATACACTTGCTCAAGGAGAAGAACTGGAGGGAGACCACTAACCCTTTACTCTTCTTCACCTCTTGAGAGTCTTACTTTTCACAGGATAAAGGGGGTGGTTGAGTTGGCTGGAGAGAAAGCAAGCAATTGGAGAGGGAGTGAGGTACAAGTCAGAAGCCTGTCTCCTCCACTGCTGGCTACCCTTCCGCAGACAGCCCACATTTCTGACTCTGTCCCAAGAGGGAAGCAAAATGCCACACATGCGTGATCACAAGTTTTATTTGGAAAGAGTTTCTAACTATTAAAGCTGCAAGCGAGTTCCTGTCACAATTACAGTTCTAGAGGCATGGTAGTTTCAGAGATCCCAGTGTTCAAAAGAGTACTTCAAAATTAATAACAAAAACAAACCCACACCCATTGAGAGCTCTTCGACCGGTTTGGTATGCACAGCCACTGATTCCAGCTGTTCTCGGAGACAGGCCCACCATCCTTGCAAATCAGGTGGGAAGGAGTCAATGCCCACAGAGGGGAAAAAGTCTCTAAATAAGTTAGCTACTTAGACAACATTATCCACTCCCTAGAGAATACAGTAAGATAACAAGCCCCAGTAGTGGGGAACATGGTACAGCACCAGTTTCACAGGGAGCTTATGGGATTCTAGGGTCAGCAGTTGGCATCTCGCACACAAAATGAAAGCAGTCACTAGAAGCAGGGAGAGTACTGAAGGGCAGGGAGTCTCTCCCAGTCCCACCCAGCCTTTTACCTTGCTAACAGCAGAGGCTATGTTCTGCAGTATCTTCGGGATAACGTTGGTCACGTTAAAAACAAAAAGAAAATCCCCCAATATCATTCCCCAGAAAGTCCATGTCTGCAAAGAAAGAGGGACCTGGTCAGGGTTCCCACGGAGGACTCCGCCTCCCATCCACTTCTGTCTCCACATGATATAAGACATCAGCCAGAGTGTGTTCTACGACAGCGCCCCAGCCCATATCACTCATCTGTGGGAGGAATGAGAAACAGAAAGGAGGTGATTAGAATAACTGCAGCAAGAAGTTACAAAGATGCTGAGGATGCATGTGGACATTTTTAAGGTTACTCACAGGGCGGTAAGTGAGATCCTTTGGAGGATACTTGAAGCATGGTCCAAAGTTAATGGAAACCTGGGATAAATTTAATTCAAGCAGACATGGCAAAACAAAGTAAGTATATAGTAAAAAAGTTAATGGGATATTTTTCTCTTTGAAGGTAGCTGTGATATTCAGGGTTTAACAGGAACAATGATATATATTAATATTGCTAAAATTGGCCAACACCTTAATGTCCATCAAGAATTAGGTAAGTAAAATAGACTAAAATACATGGGAAACTTCCAGGCATTACCTTTCCAAATCACTTTTTTAAAAAACTAACAGGCTCTAATGATAGTCCCCTTCATACTGAATTATATATATATTTTTAAATCAATAGAGCAACAGTTACAAACTAACAATGGTAGGTTTTCATGACATCTATAACACCAAACTGATTTATGCACATAAATAGTTTACAGCCATTACACTGAACAATAATATTACCACACAGTACATTCAAAGGACAAATATGGGGCACACTAATTGCATGAAGCAAATGCTTCATAAAACACCCAACTATTTTTGGAACAAACAGTGACAGTCAGAAAACATTCCCATCTTCCTTAGGCAAATCAGATTTCTTTCTAGAACTCAGGCAGTGGCCCTTTGACTATTGCCATTCACCTATTTCTCCCAAGTTCTGTCCACATGATGAACAGATGGTACTTACCGTGCAGCTCTTGTACAATGAGATGGCCGGAAAGTAAACCCCCTCAAAAATATCTTTGTAAGCCACACCTTGATTGACACCATTTTTATAAAATATTATCTGAAACAAAAAGCACACTTTTACTTTTGAATTTAAAAACAGAACACACACACATTAAAAAAGAATTCACTTGGAGCACCCTTCAGAAGTGCTGTGCCACCATACTGGTGATAATGTACTCCAAGAATAGCATATAGCTTGTGTAATAACATCACTTAATCAGTTTCTCACCTATTTATATGCACTATTCTAGTTGGTGTTCACATTTATTTGCTTTCTGCATTCCTATGCTACTTCTACCAGTTATACTATTATTTATTATACTGTATTTATACCTTGCATAAGGTTCTTATTTCTACATTTCTACTTCAAAAATCTCAGGATATTCTGTCAGTCTCTGAATTCTCATTTTCTTTGTTCTTTATCTCCCCAAACTATCCTGTATATTCTCTCTGAACCACTATATATATATAATTCGTGCACTGGGGGAGGGGCGGGGGGCCCAGCCTGGCCTGTGCCCCCTCACAGTGCGGGAGCCCCACGATTGGTCACCCCAAAGAGGTAGGCCCCGCCCACCCATCCGGGGCTCCTTGATTGCCCCAAAGAGGTAGGCTGAAGCCAGGGGTCCCGCCTCCGCACTGCACACGCATTAAGCCCCCGCCCACCTGCTGCACATGCAGCCTCCTGGTGATCACTTGTTGTGGCATGAGGGCGTGTTGACCACATAGGCTTTTATTAATAGGATATATCTGTATACTAGAGGCCCGGTGCACGAATTCGTTCATGGGTGGGGTCTGGCCACCCGCCCTGATTGGGGCAGATCAGGCAGGGCAGCCCTGGGGGAAGGGGGTGGGGGGAGGGGTCACGGGCCATTGGCCGGCCAGCCCCACCCCCTGGTCAAACTCCCAGTAGAGGGGACAATTTGCATATTAACCTTTTATTATATAGGACAATTTGCATATTAGCCTTTTTATATATATATAATTTTTTCCCCCAGATAAGGTTCTTTTTGCCCTTGCCAGTGTAGCTCAGTTGGGTGGGCATCGTCACATGCACTGAAAGGTTGCCAGTTCAATTCCCAGTCAGGGCACATGCCTGGGTTTCAGGCTCAATCCCTGGTAGGGGATATGCAGGAGGCAGCCGATCAATGCTGTACTCTCACATCAAGGTGCCCCTGTCTCTCTCTCTAAAAATCAATATACTATTTTAAAAAATTCAAACTTCTAAAAATAAATAAATAAAAGGTTCCTTTTTCTGAAGTAACTTTTGGTCTCTTCTGCTCAGAAAGAGCAATCTTCTCTCTGGCTGTACAATAATTCCTCACTTAACATCATCGATAGTTCTTGGAACTGTGGCGAAACACATTTTGAAACCAATTTTACCACTGGCTAATTGATATAACTGAGTTAAGTTTCTACTGCACCTCATCAGTGTTAACGAAATGACGTTATTCCAGGACTTGCTGTATTTTCTGGCTGTATCATCCTTAGATCTACTAACTGCTTCCCTTTACTCATTTTTCAACTACAATCCTAGTTTTGTTTTAATCTCTCCTATATTAGTTTCTATTATTGATTCAGGTGCATTCACAGCATTTTTATGGAAAAATGTTTCCAGCTCAGAACTTCCTTCCTTCCCTTCCCCTTTTATTTTTGGCCCTTGTGGCTGGTCCAGATTTGTCAGCCCTTCTTTGTGTTATGACCTTGGGTAGACATGTCCCCAGCGACCCTGGCACAGGGAGGTAGGGAAAGTTCTAGGGGACACTGAATGAGCCATTCCAGCTCTGGCTGCCTCCACTCACACAGCCAGGTTCTCTCCTTTCCTCTCCTCCTCCAGTGTTCCTCCCTCTGTACTTGGTACCTCTTCTGATAAAGAATAACCATCTCTGACTTGCTTCTTCAACCATTTGTAGATTTCCTTGTTAGACCACTGTTTTTACTTCTTTTCTACAGTGTACCTGAAAGAACCACGATTATCCCTCTAATAGCAGCAGCATAGTATCACAGAAAGAGCACAAACACAGTAGGCAGGGTGTGAGCTTACTCTGTTATCGGGAAAACCCTTCATTCCCCTTTGGGCCTCATTTTCCTCACTTATAATTAGGGGGTTGGTCCAATCTTCAAGGTCTCCTAGTTCTGACGTTTTTGTGACCATGACTCACCTCACTATGGGGAGTCTGCTTTAGGCTCTTCTCTGCTTTATCCACAAAGTCTTTTTCCTCAAAATACAAATAACTCTTGAACTTTATCAAAGCCTTGAAAACCAAGAGAGAAAGGAAAAAAAGGCTCATTGAAGCATCAGCAACATCACACAAATAGCACTGAGTCATGCGCTCTGCAACAGAAATTAGAAATCTTTGCAGAGTTAGCTTTGCTAGATTTTGAACTATGTGCTTCTTAAAAAGTACC